GCAAGGTTATAGTGAAATGAAAATGAAAATTAAGGAGTAGTAGAGTAGTAATAGAGGACTTTAAAAGAAAATAAGAGAAAAAAAAAACAAAAAAATTTCCTAATTAAAAAAATCGTAAAAATATATGAAAATGAAAGTTAAGGAGTAATGGGGGAGTAATAGGGAATTTTAAAAGAAAGTAAAAGAGAAAAAATAAGAAAAAAAATTTTTTAATTAAAAAAACAAAAGGTAAAAATATATCTAGGAATTTCTCTGGAGCTGTTGCGGTCCGTGTGGGTTCGGTTCAGTTTCAAATAGCTCCTCGTTCCAGCTTACACTTCTCGATATCTATAGACCCTTTCTGGTGTAGTCAGTGTTATCTGCCGGGATTTAAATCTGTTGCACCGGTCCCTTCTGAAGTGTTTCCCTTTGTTTATTTGGCTTCTGTTTGCCAGTCTCTTCAGTGTCTAATTTCCGCCCTGACACAGGCGGGCGGAGGTGGTCTCTTGTTCAGGTTTGCTAGTTCCGTCGCGCTGCGGGAGGTGGGGGGAGGCAGGGGCGCTGTTTTCCCCGTCTATGCTGCTCAGGCTCCCAGCTGCTCTATATGGAGCATGCCCTGAATTGCATGCGGTTCCAGTTTTCGGGTGTTCCACAATAGCGCGGACTCGGCTGCGCCTGCGTTTTGTGCCTTCCTCAGCCCAAGCAGCTCAGGCAGCCAGGAGCTTGATGGGTGCACTTTCCCGGGTGCAGTGCGCCTTCTCCCTTCCGCGGCCCCAGCCTCAGTTTCGGAGCGCGCTGGTCGGGTGCGTGTGCCTTGTGTTTAGCTGCGACCCTCCCGGCGATTGTCGACCATCCAGCATCTCAGGAAGTCTTTGGTTAGAAACTGGAGGCCTGTTTGCAGTGTGGTAGGGGGTGCCGCCTCTGGGGCCGAGTTTGCCCCTTTCCCCTCCCCCCTGCCTCCAGCGGGGCTGGGCCAGTTCGCAGCCTGCGAGCTCTTCTCTGGACTTGCTCAGACCCTTTGTTTTGCGAACGGCCGGCAGTGTGTTCGGGCCGGTTAATTTTCTCTCTCTCTTTTGCTGTCCCACAGTTTAAGTTGGTATCTCACAAAAGCTCCCTCCTGCCCTCAGGGCATTCGGCCCTGTCCTTACCCTAAGCAATGCCGCCCGCTCCTGTCCGTTCCGCCCCCACTTGCTGGTGGCGGATGCGGGCGTCTGGGGTACTTTTCTGCTGGGAGTTGCTTTTAGGTACGTAATCTGTGGGTTTTATTTATTTTTCCTTCCAGTTAGGTTGCCCTCCGAGATTCGAAAACTTCCCCCAGACCCACCAGTGCGAGGATTTCCTGGTGTTTGGAAACTTCCTCTATTAAGACTCCCTTCCCAGGACGGGTCTCTGTCCCTAGCTCTTTTGTCTCTCTTTTTATCTTTTATATTTTGTCCTACCTCCTTTCGAAGACAATGGGCTGCTTTTCTGGGCGCCTGATGTCCTCAGCTAGCAATAAGAAGTTGTTTTGTGAAGTTTGCTCTGTGTTGAATTGTTCTTTCGATGAATTTGTAGGGGAGAAGGCGGTCTCCCCGTCCTATTCCTCCGCCATCTTGGCTCCAGTCCTCTGATAGTAGGTTTTAAAAATGAAAATTAAAGAAGTAATAAAGAACTTAAAAATAAAAAAATTAAAAATGATAATAGTAAAATGTATCTAGGAATTTCTCTGGAGCTGTTGAGGGCAGTGTGGGGTCAGTTCAGTTTCAGATAGTGCCTTGTTCCAGCTTATACTTCTTCTCAAGGTCTATAGGCCCCTTCCAGTGTAGTCAATGCTAACTACAGGGTTTTAATCTGTTGCTCCTGTCACTTCCAAAGTAGTTCCCTCCTCTTTATTTTGGCTTCCCCCATTTGCTCGTCTCTTCAGTGTCTAATTTCTGCCTTGATACCCGGGGGCGGAGGTGGTCACTTATTTAGGCTCACTAGTTCAGTCGTGCTGTGAAAGGGAGGAGCACTGCAGACAAACATCACTGGCGAGTGTGGGGAGTGCGCACAGTGCCTGGGCCACACTGGGTTTACTCCCGCTCACGGCGTGTGTGCCTTCCTGGTCTACACTGCTCAGGCTCCAGGTTGCTCTGTAGGGGAACTTCTAAAGCAGGCCCTGGGTTGCGTGCACTTCCCAGGTCTAAGCCGCTCAGGTTCAGGTTCTCGGGTGCTCCACAAAGGCACAGATTCGGTTGGGCCTGCATTTTGTGCCCTTCCTGGGTCTGAGCAGCTCAGGAGACCAGGTGCTTAGCGAATGCACACTCCGCAGGTGGGCGATGCGTCGCATCACCTCCCCCATCCTGGCCACTCGGTTTCCTGGGTGCGTGGCGGGAGCACCGTCTCAGGTGTGGCCTATGTCTCCTCTGGGGAGCTGATCTCTGGCTGCGGCCCTCCTGGCGGATGTCAACCGTCCAGGATCCCAGGAAGACTTGGTTCGCAACTGGGAGCCTGCTCGCAGTGGAGGATGCCGTCTCTGGGGCCTAGTTTGACCTTTTCCTTCCGGCTCTGGCTGTCACCCGCCTGCCTCCCTGCCTCTGGTGGGGGATGGGCTGGCCCGCAGCTGGCTAGCTCTCCTCTGGTATTTGCTCAGTCCTTTGTTCTGTGAGTGGCCCGGCAGTGCCTTAGGTTAGAGCTTTTTGGGGAAATGGGGAAAGTTTTCTCTCTTGTCTGTTTTTCTTTCTTTTTTTCCTCTCTCTCTTGGATCCCACAGTGATTGTCCTCAAGGCATTCAGGCCTGGTCCTTACCCTAAGCACTGCAGCCCGCGCCTCCCTGTTCAGCCCCCACTTGCTGGTGGCGGATGCGAGCGTCTGGGCTACTTTTCCGCTGGGAGTTGTGGTTAGGCATGTCATCTGTGGGTTTTATTTATTTATTTTTTTCCTCCCGGTTATGTTGCCCTCTGAGATTCCAAAACTCCCCATAGACCTGCCCGTGAGAGGGTTTCCTGGTGTTTGGAAACTTCTCCTCTTTTACGACTCCCTCCCTGGGACAGGTCTCCGTCCCTAATTCTTTTGTCTCTCTTTTTATCTTTTATATTTTGTCCTACCTCCTTTTGAAGACAATAGTCTGCCTTTCAGGGTGCCTGGTGTCCTCCATCAGCATTCAGAAGTTGTTTTGTGGAATTTTCTCAGCGTTCAAATGATGTTTTGATGAATTTGTGGGGGAGAAAGTGGTCTCCCCATCCTATTCCTCTGCCATCTTAGGACCCCCCCCCCCCCATCTACTCTTTCAAGACAACAGTCAGCATGTCTGTCTTGTTCCTTGGTGAACCTCCAGTATATAGCAAAAACTGCATGCCTGGTTCATGGTTAAATGCTCAACAGAGATTTGATGCATTAATACTTGACATTGCCATAGATTTTCTCTCTCTCTTGCTGAAAAATGCCTGACTTGCAGTAAACACTTGAGAGAGACTTGGTAAATAAATGATTCTTTTCACTGAAATAGGAAGTCAGTTCATTAAGTGAGATAATAATTAAAACATTTTGAGCTCTAGACACTGGATTAAATAATTATATCCTGGCTGCTGTAACAAACTGCAGTGTTTTAGTGGTTTATGTAATAAAAGTTTCTTTTTTACTCAGTAACACTACAGAATGGATGTTTCTGATGGACAGGCAGCTCTCCTGTTTTTTTGAAACCCAGGCTCCTTCCATCTCTACCATCTCCGAGGCCTTTGCCTGTGAACTGGGGAAGAGAATGAGAATTGATCTCACAGACTTCAAATAGGGTAGGAAGGCACTTCCTACAGGCAGCTCCAAATTACAGAAATGTGAACATGAATTTCAGTGGACCCTTAGCCATCTCTTCCACATTTCCTTTTTTTTTTTTTTTTTTTTTACCATTTTATAATAGCATGATGATGGAGGTAGTATTATTATCCCCATTTTACAGATAAGACAACCGAGGCTTAGACCTGTCCCAAAACAATATGATTCTAATTTGAGATTTAAACTCATGTTCCTCTGACTCCATATACCATTCTATACTTCATTATAGCCAAAGGCCAAGAAGCTATCAATAGGCCATTCTAAACCACTCGACCTTTGTTTCTCAAGTGGAAGTGATTTTGTTCCCAGGATACAGAAGAACATTTTGCAATGTCTGTAGAATTTTTTGGGGGGAGTGGGGGTTAGGTATTACTGGTGTCTAGTAGGTAGAAGTCGGGTATGCTGCTCAACGTCTTAGAGTGTATTGATATAAAACCTCTCCCACTCACAGCATACACACACAAAACAAAAAATTATTAGGCTTAAAATGTCACTAGTGCCAGAATTCTGTACCAGACTATATACTACCCATGATGGGGGAAGGTCAGGTGTAGGTAAAACGTGATTGAAAAAGATTAGGAACAGCTGCTGTGAGGAATAAGCTATGATTCATTATCAAATGGAGAAGGCAATGACAGCTCACTCCAGTACTCTTGCCTGGAAGATCCCATGGATGGAGGAGCCTGGTGGGCTGCAGTCCGTGGGGTCGCTAAGGGTCGGACACGACTGAGCGACTTCACTTTCACTTTCATGCATTGGAGAAGGAAATGGCAACCCACTCCAGGGTTCTTGCCTGGAGAATCCCAGGGACGAGGGAGCCTGGTGGGCTGCCGTCTATGGGGTCGCCCAGAGTTGGACACTGCTGAAGCAAGTGACTTAGCAGCAGCAACAGCATTATGAAAGGATATGAAGAGGGACTTCCTTGGTGGTCCAGTGGTTAAGACTCTGAGCTCGAGGGGGGCCCGGATTCAATGCCTGATCAGGGAATTAGAGCCTGAATACCGCAACTAAGACTCTATGCAGCTAAATTAAAATAAAAAAGATATGGAAGATTGGCAAACAGCACAAATGCAGAAGAATATAGGTGGCTCTATCATTTTTCTATCAGTTACTTGACTAAATGACAACAACTTGGCATTTCTGGGACCTGATAATACTTTTAAAGAAGTAAGTGATCTGTACTTTACTGGGTGAAAATATTATCTTTTAAACCATTTTATTTCTGAATGCAGGGAGACCAGACTCGTCCTTTTATCACATCCAGTCCTACAAATGGGGCCAAAACCACTGCAGAAGGTTGGCTTTCTCCAAACCCCTATGACCTGAATTATGGGGACGTACATTTTTATGATTATATGAGTGACTGCTGGGATTGGAGAACTTTCCCCAAAGCTCGATTTGTATCTGAGTATGGATATCAGTCCTGGCCTTCCTTCAGTACATTAGAAAAGGTAAGCCATCTTTGATTTACTGGGGATTCAGAATTGTAGACTGTGGACATGTGTTACTTCCTCAGTGTGGTTCAGAAGGTCAAATGAAATCTACTTCTTGTTTAAACAGAAGTTTAGGAAGAAGATAATAGAAAAGAACTTTTTATCCTTAACTTTTGGGGCTCTAAACTGTTATAGTCATCATTTTGTGGGTTATAACTTTTCCATATTGCTTTTATTTACATTCTTTCAAGAGCATTTAAAAATTCAATGGGAAGCCAGTGATTACTTAAGCCTCACTTGTTACATGAAATACGTGAAAATTACATTCACTTACTACTTTCTGTGTGTCCTACAACTGTTTTTATTATTTATGGATACTCAGAACTGGATAGTTAGCTACAGTAAGAGAAATAGGTAAATGAACTTTTATCTGATGTTATTATGTTGTAGCATCCCTTTTTTTTTTTTTCCAATGACAGAATTTTTTTTAATATTTAAAAACAAAATCAACCTCCCCCCAAAGAACCCCCCAACAAACAAAAAATCAGATTAATTAAAAAATTTACAATGAATATACCCAGCAAACATCTGTATGTGCAACTAAATACTGTGTTACTGAGGCACAAACCTCAAACAATATACAAGTATTCTGGGGGTGTAGAAGGAGGCCCAAGTTTAAACTCTGTGGGGTTTGGGGAGACAAAATGGGGTGAGAGGGGAAATCAATTTTTCTTAATTCTGTCCATATAAATATATTCATAAAGACCAAAGAAGAAAAGGGAGCTTGGAATGGTAAGGAAAATAGGAGAATGGGGGAGTATGGGACCCTCCCAATTCTACCTGACCAAAAGATAGGAATTAATTTCATGGTGAAAGAAGAGATAAAAAATGATAGAAGAGGATGGGAAAGAGAGGGAAGCAGACATGGGCAACCAGGGAGAAGGAGGGGCCCTTGGCAGGGGAGTGAGAAAGAGTCCAGGCGCAGTGTGTCTGTTCCGTCTTCATCCCCACTGTCTTAGGCTCCAATCTAGTGACTGTCTGTGACTCATCTTACTTTCTGCCTCTTTCTGTGGTCTGATGGGGCCCCTTGACCCCCTCCACCTTGCTCCGACCCCTGCCATGCTGGTCCCTTCTCTTCTCCATTTATTGGGATCTGGCTTGCTCCAGGATCCTCAGGTCATAGTTCTTTTTGTCCACTCAAAGTTTGTTGAAGTGAAGTGAGGCGTTCTGAGCCATTAAATTTTCCCCAGCCAGGGGGCTGGGGAACACAGCCATGATGCTGTACAAGGCAGTGAGGTCCAAGTGCCAGCTGTTCTCAGCAGTCCCACCATTGTCCCCCTCTCCCCCACTCCATGGTAATGTAAGTTTCCATGTTTGAAATAGTTCAGTTGGAATTCCATCATCTCCATTAGCTTTGTTTGTAGTGATGCTTCCTAAGGCCCATTTGACTTCTCACTCCAAGATGTCTGTCTCTAGGTGAGTCATCATACCATTGTGGTTATCTGGGTCATTAAGATCTTTTTTATATAGTTCTTCTGTGTATTCTTGCCACCTCTTCTTAATATCTTCTGCTTCTGTTAGGTCCATGGCATTTCTGTCCTTTATTGTGCCCATCTTTGCATGAAAAATTTGATGCTGTGAAAGTGCTGCACTCAATATGTCAGCAAATTTGAAAAACTCAGTAGTGGTCACAGGACTGAAAAAGGTCAGTCTTCATTACAATCTCAAAGAAGGGCAATGCCAAAGAATGTTCAAACTACCACCCAATTGTACTCATCTCACACGCTAGCAAAGTAATACTCAAAATTCTCCAAGCCAGGCTTCCACAGTATGTGAACCGTGAACTTCCAGATGTTCAAGCTGGATTTAGAAAAGGCAGAGGAATCAGAGATCAAATTGCCAACATCCACTGGATTATCGAAAAAGGAAGAGAGTTCCAGAAAAACATCTACTTCTGCTTTATTGACTACACCAAAGTCTTTGTGTGGATCACAACAAACTGTGGAAAATTCTTAAAGAGATGGGAATACCAGACCACCTGACCTGCCTCCTGAAAAACCTGTATGCAGGTCAAGAAGTAATGGTTAGAACTAGACATGAAACAACCAACTGGTTCCAAATCAGGAAAGGAGTACGTCAAGGCTGTATATTGTCATCCTGTTTATTTAGCTTATATGCAGAGTACATCATGTGAAATGCCAGGCTGGATGAAGCACAAGGTGGAATCAAGATACGCAGATACGCAGATGACACCACCCTTATGGCAGAAGGTGAAGAACTAAAGAGCCTCTTGATGAAAGTGAAAGAGGGGAGTGAAAAAGTTGGCTTAAAACTCAACATTCAGAAAACTAAGATCATGGCATCAGATCTCATCAATTCATGGCGAATAGATGGGGAAACAATGGAAACAGTGAGAGACCTTATTTTTGGGGGCTCCAAAGTCACTGCAGATGGTGACTGCAGCCATGAAATTAAAAGATGCTTGCTCCTTGGAAGAAAAGCTATGACCAACCTAGACAGTCTATTACAAAGCAGAGCCATTACTCTGCCAACAAAGGTCTATCTAGTCAAAGCTATGGTTTTTCCAGTGGTCATGTATGGATGTGAGAGTTGGACTCTCACACAGCTCTTTGCGACCCCATGGGCTGCAGCATGCCAGGCTTCCCTGTCCATTACCAACTCCCAGAGCTTACTCAAACTCATGTCCATCGAGTTGATGATTCCATCCAACTATCTTATCCTCTGTCCTCAAATCAGTCAATCCTAAAGGAAATCAGTCCTGAATATTCATTGGAGAGACTGATGCTGAAGCTCCAATACTTTGGCCACCTAATGCAAAGAACTGACTCATTGGCAAAGACCCTGATGCTGGGAAAGATTGAAGGCAGAAGGAGAAGGGGACGACAGAGATCATCATAGGGGATGACAGATCAATGTTTGTTTGCATTGATCACTTAGGAAGGCCATCTTATCTCTCCTCACTGTTCTTAGGAACACTACATTCAAATGGAGTTATCTTTCCTTTTCTCCTTTGCCTTTCACTTCTCTTCTTTTCTCAGCTATTTGTAAGGCCTCCTCAGACAACCATTTTACCTTTTTGCATTTCTTTTTCTTGGGTATGGTTTTGATCATGGCCTCCTGTACAGTGTTACGAACCTCCATCCATAGTTCTTCAGGTACTCTATAAGATCTAATCCAGGGTTTTGTAATAAACTGATCAGCATTTGTATATTAGAACTTCTATACACTAGCTATATTGCCTTGAACAGATCATTCATTCTTTTTGAATTTCAGTGTTCTCATCTGTAAATTGGGGTTAATAGTAGCAGATACTTCAAGGAGTGTTTGTTTTTTGTGTGTGCACATTCAGGTATGCATGTGTGCTGTGTGACTGTGTATAAACACTAAATTAATACACTGAAACACAGCACAGTTCCTGATACATAGTGATGAGCTCTTAAAATGTAAGCTATTGTTACTATTCATACAGTCAACGCTAGCCATATGGTTTAAATGAAAGTTGGAGCTAGACTATACTAACTAGCTTTGGATCTTGGGCAAGTAACTTAATTTTTCTGTGCCTGGTTTTCTCATTCTGTAAAACTGGGTGATAATAGTACTCACTCATAGGGTTGTTATGATGATTAAATGAGTTAATATTTTGAAAGCAATTAGAGCCTTATCTGACACTTTTGCCCTAGATGTAGACCCTGAATATACTGTAGAATCACTCTCAGATGTTTTTCTTTGGTTTGTTTCATTTTAAAAAAACTAACGCCTGGACTGTACTCCCCCAAACTTGGATTCAGTTGTTCTAAGGTGTCGTGTGAGCTTTTCTTTCCTTATCTGAACTCTTCTAGGGTTCTGATGTGCAGCTCGGATTGAGAACCGCTACTCTGGATATTCACTGAATAAGTAACTACTTATCCACCATGTGCTCAGAACTTTAGAATATCAGTCAGATAGATCTTTCAGTCCTTCAGGCAGTATTCCCCACCTCTGTCCCAGTGGAGCCTCGAGATGAAGGCAGCCTCTGGGAGAGGCAGAGGCACCGTGCTAAGCTGAGCCTGGATTCCTGACCCACTGAGACAATAGAGACTTGTTTTCTGGCTATAGCATTGTTACAGCTGAAATTTACAAGAATTTCAAAGCATAGCCACCAGATGGTAGAAAGCTTCCCACATAACAGATCAGATTTATGACTATGGAATACATTTAGATTATTAGCAGTCAGAGGGCTGAAAGGCCTGGAGAAATTTCCAACTTTGAAAAGAAGGAAGCATAGAAAGAAGGAAAAGCTACTGCTGGTAAAGGCTTGTGCATATCGAATGTGTACAGGATGACTGTAAATACTAATGCCTCTGTCTCAAGTAATAGGAGTGATTACTGTTCTCTAAACTGTGGTGTAACATTTTCCAACAATTAATTCAGTTCGGAAAAACACCCTCCTTAAGTATGGCCAGTGTACGTTGCATGTATTTTGGTGTAAATAAATTCCTAAAGAATAACTTTATTCTTTTTAAGCAGATTGGTCTGTGCATGATCACTGGGACTTATAAGTCATATTTTATGAGCAGGGATTTTTGAGTTTTCTAATTTTCAGGGTTTTTTCAGGGTGGAGCAGAACATGTTTTTTCAGTCTCTGTGTAGCTTGGATTAAAATTAAACTCTGATATTTTCAGACGTAGCCAGCAGTTGTCTTACATCTTTGTCACATGCTAACAGTTCATTAAATCACAGGCCTAGAAGCCAGAACTATTGCTTTTTTTCTTAAAAGGTACACTACTAATGTGTGGTATTTGTTTTTGTCTTTTTACTTGATCAGATGATAACTTCTCAAAGGAAAAGAAAGATTCTATAAGTTAAAAAAAGAAGTTTTATTATTAGCAGAAAAGAATATCATTGGTTGGTTTTGTATCTTCAACTATATAAAAATTAAATGTGTATGTATCAAATATATTTAGTGAGAGACAAATGAGTATATGCTAAGCAATTATCATCTCACTGGTGATATTATTGTTAAAGAATTGACAGTTTTAAAAGAATGTTATTTTCAGTTTATTATTCAGTTTTGACAGTTTCCATGCTCTGATGAGATGACATTTTTAAATGTATATAATGAATATTCTAAAAAAACCAAACATGGTGTGATGAGAGAAGTCTTTTGATAGAAATACCAAATAGATAGAGTAAGGCTAGTCTTGCAGTAGTAACAAATATGATGCCTAAAATGTGAGGTTGGTCCCAGAACATGCCTCGAGCTCTTTTCCAGTGTGTATTATTTTCCAAGTTTGCCAGGAATTTGGAAAAGGGTAGTTTCACTCCTCTAACTTCCCAATTTGAATCTCTTATTCTTTACTTGAAAGGTTTCCTCTGAAGAGGACTGGTCTTACGAAAGCAGGTTTGCACTTCATCGGCAACATTTGATTGACGGTAACAATAAAATGCTTAAGCAGATCGAACTTCACTTCAAGCTCCCACACAGTGCAGATCAACTACGCAGGTTCAAAGACACTCTTTATCTTACTCAGGTAAGCCATTTTCATTCTAGGCTTCAGCAGCTACCTGCAGTTAATGTAAGAGATCCTGTCGAGTTTGTAAGCCTTCTGTGGTGAAAAATATTCAGGGTTTCATCTTGCTGATTTAAAAAAACATTATCTTCTTCAAAATAGAGATATGATGACAGGTAAAACCTGAGATAGTAAAATTTTTGGCATTTGTCTTTCTTACAAGAATAGCTCACAATATTCTATAACAAATTGTGTATTCAAATATTCCCTAGTTCAAGATGACTATCAAGGTTCCGTAATTAAGTCTAAAGTAGCATTTGCCAAGGATAAAATGGGACACAGGAGAGACCAAAAACAGACTCCTGTAGGACACAGTCATCTGACTACTGGTGCAATATGCCATTGCAATCTGTGGGAAAAGATAGGCTTATCAATACAGTACTGTATCAAGTGGTTGTCTTTATGGGAAATAAATGAGCTGTGACCCCCCATATACAAAAATTAATTAATGATCACTTAACTGGGAAAGGTAGTACAATAAAACTTCTAGGAGAGACCGTAGGAGATTATCTTCATGACCTTGGCATAGGCAAACAGTTTCTTAAACAGAACATAAAAAATACTATGAAGGAAAATAATGATAAATTGGACTTCGTTAAATTATACACTTCTGTGTATCAAAGCCACCATAAGAGAGAGAAAATGCAAGCCAAAGATTGGGGAACAGTGTTTGCAGTATGTATATCTGATAAAGGATTTGTATTTAGAGTAAAGCACTTCTGCAAAGCAATAAGAAAAAGATAACCTTTTAAAAATGGACACAGTTCTTGATCAGGCACATCATCCGAGAAGATAACTAGATGGTCAGGAAGTATATGCAAATACAGTCAATTTCATTCTTAATTAAGGAGATACAAATTAGAGCCATGCCAGAATACTCCTACACACTGTGTGCACAATGTAATTTTAGCACAATGGCTAAAATTAGAAGGATCGACAATACCAACTGTTGGTGAGGAGGTGGGACAGCTGGAACTTTTAGACGTTGTTGGTAGGACTGGAAATTTGTCTAAACAGTTTGGGAAATTTTAAGGCAGTTGGTACCCAAGCTAAACATTTGTGCTTCCTGCTTGAATCAGCATTTCTACTCTTAGTTGTGTACCCAAGAAAAACAAGTGCATATGTCTGCCAACAGACATCTAAAATAATGTTCATTGCATGTTTATTCATAATACCCCCAAACTGGAAACAACCAAAATGTTCTTTAACAGAAGAACTTACAAATTGTGGAATATGTACACAGTGGAATGAAAGTGAAAGTCGCTCAGTCGTGTCCGACTCTTTGTGACCCCATGGACTACACGGTCCATGGAATTCTCCAGGTCAGAATACTGGAATGGGTAGCCTTTTCCTTCTCCAGGGTACCTTCCCGACTCAGGAATCGAATTGGGGTCTCCTGCATTGCAGGCGGATTCTTTACTAACTGAGCTATCAGGGAAGCCCAAGAGGGCTCCACAGTAATAAAAAAGAGAATGAACTGCTGATATCAGCTTCAGCTCAGATAAATCTCATAGACATTATGTTGAGCAAAAGAAACATTGAAATTTCACTGTGGACAAAATGAATCAAGGTGATATACAGCAAATCAGTGGTAACCACTCTTGTGGAGGAAGTTGGTGCCTTACGATTAGGAAAGGGTACAAGGAAACCTTCTGAAATGCTAAAAAAGTTTTGTGTCTTTCTCTGGATGCTAGTTACATGGGTGTATATATATGTTAAAATTCACCGAGTTATACACTGAAGAGCTGTTCGTATTATATTACGCACCTTACTAGATTTTTTTTAAATAGCTCTGTTGAGGTATAATTGACATACCATAAAGTTCACTTGTTTTAAGTGTACAATTAAGTGATTTTTAGTATATTTGTTGAGTCATGTGACCATCACCATAATCCAATTTTAGAACATTTCTGACACTCCAGAAAGATCCATCTTACCCATCTGTGATCACTCTCCTTTCTCACTTCCAGTCTTCGACAAATGTTAATTTGCTTTCTGTCTTTGTAGATTTTATTTTCTCAACATTTCTTATAGCTGGAATCATATAATACCTCTCTTTGGTATGTGGCTTTTTTCACCGAGCATAATGTTTTTGAAGTTCTTCCATATTATAGCATATACTGTACTTCATTTCTTTTTCTTGCTGAATAATAGCCTGTTGTATGGAGATCATGTTTTACTTATCCATCGATCAGTTGGTATACATTAGGGTTAGTTTCCATTTTAACTATTATGAATAATACTAATATGAGTATTTGCATCCACATCTTTGTACCCATACTTTTATTCATCTCGAGTAGAAATATCTGAGTAAACTTGCTGAGTTATGTGATGAATGTATGTTTGACTTTTTTTGGAGTATAATTGGTTCACACTGTTAGTCTCTGCTGTACAGTGAAGTGAATCCGCTGTGTGTATACATATATCCTCCCTCGTGGGCCTGCCTCCCCTTCATCCCACCCCTCTAGGTCATCATAAGCGCCGAGCTGAGCTCCCTGTACTGTCCAGCAGGTCCCACTAGCTAGCTGTTTTACACATGGTGGTGTATGTATGTCAAACCTAGTCTCCTAGTTCATCCCAACATCCCCTTCTTCTCACCCATGTCCACATGCCTGCTCTCTACATCCGTGTTATGTTTAACTCCTAAAGAAAAGAACAACCTGCATTTTAGACAATATTTTCATCTTAATATTTACATTTGCCTATTTTATTTCATGAACCTGTGAATGCACCAAGTAAGACTATTTGAAAGCAACTGCTCATATATCTGATATTTCTGCTAAACTTGTTTCAAGTTCTGAGAGAGAAGGGAAGAACCTAATCTCAATCGTATGAGTTGATCTGAAGTAATGTATTAAACGTTTTAATTTTTGCATGTCAGCATCTAAGAATGTTCCAATTTTTATTCAAGCTTATTCTCATCAGTTTTCTCCTGTATAAAAACACAAAACCGTGGATGGAATTTGAAACAGAAAACTGTCAGCCAGAACAGTATTCTTTTTTGGAACAAACTGATGAAGAGAATTTTAACTTTTCAACTAGTATTAGTTCAAGAAGTTTTGCTCATGTGATATGTAATTTATAAACTTACTTCATAGAACACAAGTTTAAGGATTCTGTTGATATTTGTCCCTTTTTTGGTGATAATTTTTTTATTTTTTTAATTGGCGGATAATTACAATGTTGTGTGAGTTTCTGCTGTTCAACAACATGAATCAGCTGTAAGTATACATACATATCCTCTCTTTGTGTAGAAATTTTTAATTAGAGGATAATTGCTTTACAACACTGTGTTGATTTCTGCCATACATCAGTGTGATCAGCCGTTAAGTCTACACGTATTCCCTGCCTTGCGACCCTCACCCTCATCGCTCTCCTCTAGATTGTCACTGGTTGAGCTCCCTGTGTTATACACAACTTCCCATTAACTATCTGTTTTACACATGGTAATGTATGTTTCAACCCTGCTCTATCAGTTCGTCCCACACACTTCTTCCCCCACTGTTTCCCCAAGTCTGTCTGCATCTCTATTCCTGCCCTCCAAATATGTTCATCAGTAACATTTTCTTCTAGACTCCATATATATGTATTCATATATGATATTTGTTTTTCTCTTTCTGACTTACCCAGAAAAGCATAATTCAAAAAGACACAGGTACCCCAGTGTTCATTGTAGCATTATATACAATAGCGAGGACGTGGAAGCAACCTAGGTGTCTATTGATAGATGAATGGATAAAGAAGTTGTGGTATAGATATTTGTCCCTTTTCAAGTGTTGTAGTTCACCCTTATTACTTTTTCATAGCCAGTATTCTTTAAAAATATCTCAGTCTTGACATGTGAAATAGGATGGTCCCTATTCCTGTGTGTGGGTTATGTGGGAACCTTTTCAGCTGTTGTTTTCAGGCTGGCTTTCCCCCTCCCAGCTGTTCATTTTATTATGGTCACTTTATTCTGTTTCCTCAAAATACATTCAAAGAACTAACAGAAATAACTGTTATTTCCAAACTCATGAACGTTGGAGGTACACAGTTAGGAGCGTGTGTGATTTCAGCCATTCAGTCGTGTCTGACTCTTTGTGACCCCATGGATAGCCTGCCAGGCTCCTTTGTCCATGGTATTTTCCAGGCAAGAATACTTGGGTGTATAGCCATTCCCTTCTTCAGAGGATCTTCCTGACCCAGGGACCAAACCCACATCTCCTGTGTCTCCTGAATTCGCAGGTTGTGGATTCTTTTACCACTGAGCCACCTGGGAAACCCAGAAACTGGTGTACAGTGGGATTATGTATTGGTGGTTTTTCTTGGTGATTTGTCTGATCCTTTAAGTATGAGCTTCCTATCAGGCATTGGCTGGGAACTGGACTTGTTGGTTCTATCTTGAGACTTTCTGACACTTGATGGATCTGAGATGAAAGAAATCAGAATTATGATTTTTTTTTTTTTGGTCCTTAGTGTTGGACTTTCTTGACTAAGTATAGACAGGAAATGTTAGGAAATGTTGTTAACAAGTTTTTCTTTCCTTACTATTTTCATATTAGAACAGTCATCTTTAGTGTACATACAAGAAGTAAATCTTTCTTTGGTCCATTTTCTCTGTTCCCACTCCCACCTCTTGATCTTGTTCTCATAATCTGTTACACTGTTTTGAAGAACCAGGATACTTGCCTGCATGCCAATTTTTAAGACATTCTCTTAAGGAATTTATTTTGAGTGCACTCTTCAGAAAATTCTTGGCTGAGAAAGCTGTGCAATAAGTTTCTTTACATTTAGATCCTTCCTTGGCTTCTCTTTATCTTACAACCACAAAGGCATCCCTTAGGCTCTCACCTCTTTAATTCTTCTAATGTTCCAAAATAATCTTGCCCTACTTTTCATTCTCCTACTTTAACCTGTTGTATTCCAAATAACCTACATGCCTAGGCACACTGTCTTAAGCTGTGTCACACAGACCTCGCTGC